CTAACCAAATCACTTTATACTTGATCAAAGAGGCCAGATGTAGAGTATATATACCACTTTTTTGGGATTTTCCGGTGAGTTTTCTTGACTCGTTATCTTGAATTTGGTTGTGACGATGATACCCTCGATGCTCTGATGATGTCCGTCATACCACAGACGAAAGCTCAGCACCTTTTTACCGGAATCGAAGGAAACGACAGCTGGTCAAGAAGAATCCGCCGTCGTCTTCTGGTGGAACCGATCTTCCAAGCTCTTTAACACACACTTTCACTCGAAATGGAAGTAAGCTCAACAATGATGAGACAAGATATTCCTCGAAACCCAACTTTTCTTCGCATACATTTTTATTCAAAAGTCGAAGCATACTTATTGTGGGAAGTAAACAGTAACGTTTATTGTAATCATAAATACAAGTTTGCCTCACTATGAAGAGTGATTCGGCAAAAATTGGGCTACCCTTCAAATTCGCATTTTCTCCGTCCCCAACTGGCACCATCATTGGGGCTTCTTGCAGAGCGGTCACTTTTCGCCACAGCGAATACGAGAATTGTTCACATTCCGTTGGGAAAATGCTGATCCAAACACAAAGCTGTACTCCCCCACCGTGTAGATGGGAACACTTTTGGAGACCAGACTAAGTGTACTTTGGTGGTATCATAAGACTTAGACCTTAAAAGAAGTAATATAAAACTTCATATTCCCCGCGACTTTATGCATGCTCCGATTGGAGGCGGAACCAATCATCATCATCATCATCACTATCACCACCACCACCATTACCACTATCAACATCGTGAGCATCATGATCACCATTATGATCATGTTTATGATCATGATCATCACCGTCACCGTCACCGTCACCATCACACTCAACACCAGCATCAATAACAATATAATCATCATGAGTATCATCATCGGCATCAGCGTCACCTCCGAGAGGGCAGGCAGCGTTTCGCCAAAGGACAAACATGCAACACACGCGAGGGTGTTTGAAGGGAGAAAGTATTGGCAGCCACTTTTGCCGATCTTCAAAGGGATTTTAGCCTCGACCGAACGAGACGATTTGATGTTTGTTGCCAGGCCTTGTTCTGATAGCCGACATATCCCCAGGCCAGCTCCCCCCACCCCCCGCCCCCAAAAGGGAGTGTAGTAGGGGGTTCGGGCCAGCCCATCAGAGGAGTCCGCGACATGGTCCGCATCTAAGACCAGCACAAAGACAAGCCTCCCCGTGGTGGCCATGACGTCCGTATCGACCGGCAGTGTCGGCCAATTGCAATGCCACTGGTCGAAATGAGGGTGAGAGTGGAGAGTGGAGAGGGAAGTGGGGAAAGTGAAAAGTGTAGGAAGGAGAATGGGGCAATGAAAGGTGGTGAAGAAGAAAGGAAAAGATGTCAAACGTGGAAACGTGTCCAGATGAACTGGTCTGTTGTTGTAGGTTCTGAAATCCCTGAAGACTCACATTTCGAGGCTGTGAGGGATTCATTCCAGTCTGGGCGATCTTGCGATCTTAACGCTTCGGACGATCTGAACAAGTTGGACAGTCTGGACGATCTGTTATTGTCAACCTCCTTGAAGAGGTGCGTTGAATCGGCTCGTTTGTCGGCTGCCTGGCCCACAGATAAACAGAGCTCGCTTAGAGGACTCGACTGTGTGCATTATTGTGTGTATTATTGGTATTATTATTATTATCATCATCATAATTATAATTATTAAAATTATTTTATTATTATTATCATTGTTATTATTATTACTATTACTACTCTACTACTACTATTATTATTATTATTATTATCATTATTATTATCATCATCATTATAATTATCATTATAATTATAATTATAATTATAATTATTATATTTATTATTTTTTCATTATCATTATTACTATTATTATTATTACTATTATTATTATTAATACTATTACTATTATTATTATTATTATTATTATTATTATTATTATTATTATTATTATTATTATTATTATT